GGGGGGGGGGGGGGGGGCTGGGGGTTATTTTAACACAGTGTTCTCCGATCCTCACCGATGGACGTATATTTTGGAAAGGAGATTTTAATACTTTGCTTTAACGCGGAGGAAGAGAGTAAGATGGAGAAAAAGCGAGAGGGAACTAAACGTTACATGAACTCCATGCAAGCCCTGGTTTGTCAGGCGTGCCAATCGCCCTTAGGCCCCTTTCAGTGCAGGGTGGAATATACACCCCTGCCGATACTCGGGGTTCACCCCAACCCCGACATCCCTCGGGGCTTCGTCTCGTATAATACACGAAACTTACAGGCACTGAGCTTGCCAAAGCCCTGTACAAGCACGCCATCCTCTCCTCGCCATCCTCTGCTACTCCATCGCCTATACCTTACCTTCCCCCAGTGCCTCTATCCACCCTGGGACCACCTCACACAACAATTCACTTTATATATATATATATATATATATATATATATATATAAAGAACACAGTTCCTGCACATATTCCACTCGCAGAATGGAACATCTGCTCTTGAGGAAATATACCAAAAAATTGGGCAACACCGGCTCTTCCTGATCCTTCGGCTTTCCTATCGGGTCCCGGGTTTCCCTCGTAATCGGGCACGTCCAGCCGTCACGAAAGCGCGGGATTACTCTTGGCAAAAGGAAGGAATAGAAAAAGAAAAACGTGAATACCACCACCGGATCAAAAATTCCCGGTGGCAACGGTACAGTAAGTCAATTAAATTTTTCTTATAAATCGATAGGCAAACAAAAATGTAATAATGGCGGCAGGCACCAGGGAATTCGGTTACGGCACTGCTGAATTATAGACATTAGTCGGAATGCCCGTCGATCGCTACATCATCCCCGTCGGCGAAACTCCTTCCGAACGTCCTCTGAAAGAATGCCGCGTTGCCCGCAGAAACGTCATGTCGACTTGTCAACTAGTTCGTCTTGTCGGCCTATTGACAATGAGCATTGTGTATATACCCGCAATGCCGTACGGAATGCTGATGAGCTTCGTATCTATAGACATCGGGGCTACCTAGTGGCCTGATATTCCTCGCGGATACACATTACCACATCTGCCATTCAAATCAGCCAGACCATAATCGATCACGCCGAATAATTGGAGCACTGATTGATCTTACGATTGATTTGCTTCTTGTTATCCGTCCGTAATACTCCCCCGTCAGACGCGTATTGTCTTACCGGTATATCTCGTAATAAAGGTAATGCATGTAAACAGCTGATATACTACGAAAGAAATCGTCTCTCCGCGCGCGTCGACGTGTCGTAGAGCGACGTCGTAATAATATTTGCTACTGATACGCGCTGTAGTTACGTTCCTGAAGATGAGTCACGATAACGACTCTCGACAACGAATCTGGATTCCTCTCGTCTCTCGTCCCGAGGAAAATGGCTAATTGGCACGGAATTATTCAGTGGCTGCACCTACGCCACGGATACAGCGTACCGTCGGCGCGAAACGTTGATATAAGGCTGAACAGTTCGGACGGACGAGCGTAACGGAATTTAATATTAACCCGAGGTTGGTGCGATGGGGTTTCACACGCCCCAAGCGTCTATTTGTCTCTGTCATGAATAAATGGCGCTCGCCGTGCGCCACGTCCCGAGACTCGCCGTATAACTTCCCAGTACGTACGTCCCTCTCTAAATGGCATAAATTCATATTGTGCAATTCGCGTTTGAAAATGGTGAAATTGATGGGCGAGAGCGCCGTTTACGGGGACCGATGAAGGTACTACCTCTCGTTCTCTTGTTCGTATTACCGCAGACGCGAGAGCTTCCCTTAATCGGGTACGGACTATATGTATAGCGTATACCCCTCGTATCGCATAACTTTTAGCTATACGTATACCTAATATACTATATTCTGTGCGTATATAGTATATTCATTCACTCTCTCGGCTTAGAGTTCGGCTCGCTTCGGTTCGGTATACCGGAGTACAACGCTTGGGCTTGGTAATTGTTTTTGTTTGAAAGTGCGATTACGCGGCAGTAGGCGCCCAGTTTCCATTCGCTCCTGAAACGACCTGTACAAGGGCGTCTTCACAAAGCCATCGAGTTCTATCCGGATGAAGGAATGCACCGTGGCTAACGGGGTGGTTGTTTAAACTCTTAACGATCGTTTGACTCGTTAAAGATCCATTAAGGCTTCGAACTCGGCAGACTCCTGGAATTTTTATACTTAAACCCTCTACGGGATCCACCCTGTACTCGCTAACTATATGTACGGTACGTCCTTGTGCACTCTACCACCACTTCTCTTTATCCGCTTCCGCTTTTCTTTAGACTTCCTCTCCTTTTTTTTTTTACTCGACCGTTGATCGGAGTTTTCTCAGCAATCGCCTTCGTTCCTCGTGTTACTTCAAAGGGTAATTTCACTTTAAACTGCTTCGCACTGACGGCAAACTTAATCTCGCGCTTCCGGAAATATACGTCAGGACGAGTATTCCTTTTTCTCCGAGTGTCTTCTCGAGTTTTACGGAATCTCTATTTTCTAGCAGTCATTCACGCGATACGTCCTGAGAGTCGCACGAGCGGTAGTCTTTACGTGGCTATATACATATATAGTGGTATGAATGGGAGACTTTGGAGCACCAGGCTTGAACCTGGTGGGGGGGACGGGAGCCATTGGTCACTGGATATAAAAGCTGCGCAATAGGTAGTACACATGTATATAGGTAGGTGAGTTATAAAGATTGTAAAAACTGTTTGTAATGTAGTTTACATCAGACGCAGTAGGAAAGAGGGTAGACCCGAGGTCTACGTTCGCATAAAGTCAGGCGTTGCGTTTGCGTGTGAGTGAGAGCGCGTTGGTGCTGACTCAAAGACACCTGGTTCCTCCTCGATAAATTCTCCAGGTTGTCCCACGACCTTCTCTTCGCCATCCTTGTTCCGGATCGCCTCGTTTCTCCTTCCTTCCTCATTTCTTCTGCCTTAGTACGCAGGAATGTCTTCGCTTCGAGCAGGAACACTCGCGACGCAGGTGTCGCGTTTGGTGAAATAATGCGAGGCAGCGGTGCTCCGTAGGAGAGCTGGCGAGGTAGGATGTGGAATGAAAGTAAATTCGAGGGGTGAAAGTATAGTGCCATTGATTTTTCTGGTTGTGCTTGGTCGCCCTTGAAATTCTCCTCGTCGGAGGGATGAATCACTATGCCGGACACACGGGAAGCAGGGTGCGCCAAGAACTCGCCGGAATCAATTCTGTTTCTATCCATTATTAGGGGGATGGCGGCGGCGATGGGGCAGAGGGTCAGGGGCACTTGGGGAATGGGGATGTCATAAAAGCCTCGTTAAAATGTGCCCGCGAGGAGAAGTCGAGGGAGCTCGGCGCGGGGCGCGTTATAAATTCAAGACAGTTACTTTGCCAAGCGTACCCTGAATGTTTGATCGGTGGAAATAGAGGAGGAAATCGATTCCAGCCAAACTGGCGCTCCCAGGAAATATAGCCACGTGAGGTAACGAGGACACTTTTGAATTTTCAGGTGGTCCCGGAGCGACGAGCGGAGGAGGCCCAACGAGAGCAACCGGCAGCGCTGGAGTGACTGGGTCTACCAGTACGTGGTGGAAGGACGAGGAAACGCCGAGAGGATCCTGTCGCTAGGACAGGAGCTACTAGATTAGTAGCACGATGTCTGGAAAGTGTCCAGGAGCGGCCAGGGTGCCGTTCCGGGGTAGCCATCTTCCGTTCCTTCTCCTTCTTCTGCTGAGGTTCTCGCGAGCCACGGCCCCGAACGTCACGGACATAATACACAAGTTCTATGACCCTGACGTGGAGAAGATGAACCACCTGGTGGTGGACAAGAATACGGGTAGGGTCTACGTAGGTGGTGTGAACCGGCTGTACCAGCTATCTCCCAACCTGACTCTCGACGTCAAGGTCGAAACCGGACCTCGTGGCGACTCCAACCAGTGCTCCTCCATCGACTGCCCCTCGGAGGCCGTGAAACGCCCCGTGGACAACGTGAACAAGGCTCTGGTAATCGACTACACCACTACCAGACTCATCTCCTGCGGCAGCGTCTTCCAGGGCATGTGCAACGTGCGCAATCTCCAAAACATCTCGGACGTCGTCCAGGAAGTCCGCGAACCCGTCGTGGCGAACAACGCCACTGCCTCTACCGTGGCGTTCATCGCCCCGGGTCCCCCGAACCCACCCGTGTCCCAGGTGATGTACGTGGGGGTGACCTTCACCGGGAATTCGCCCTACAGATCCGAGGTACCAGCGGTCAGTTCCAGATCCCTCGAAGCAGACAGGATGCTGAACATCGCCCAGTCGGCCGTCACCACTGGCACCAGGATATACGTTAACTCCCTCTCCAGGGAGAGGTATCCCATCACCTACGTCTATGGGTTCAGCAGCGAGGGATTCAGCTACTTCCTGACGACGCAGCCTAAGAATCCCGACATCATGAGCTACATCTCCAAGCTCGTCAGGCTGTGCCACGAGGATCCGCATTATTACTCCTACACGGAGATGTCGATAGAGTGCACCAGCGAGGACAGGGTCTACAATCTCGTGCAGGCTGCCTACGTGGGCAAGCCCGGGTCCGTGCTCGCCAGCGACCTAGGTATAACGGCCCAGGACGACGTGCTCTTCGCCGTCTTCTCCGAGAGCAACGGGACCAGCAGCGTACCTAAACCTCAGTCGGCGCTCTGCGTCTACTCGCTCAAGGCGATTAGACGTAAATTTCTTCGCAATATACAAAAATGTTTTGGCGGCGAGGGACAGCGAGGACTGGACTTCATATCGCCGAGTATCAAATGCGTCCCGACGGTGAGTACCCGGTGCATCCAGTCGCCCTACCTAATCTACATATTCTCCGGATGCTCACGCGCTCCCTCTCTTGGCAGCTCCTTCATGGTTAATAACCACGTCACTCAGCGAGGTGCAACTGCGCATCCATATTAATTTGCATCGATGAACTCGATCCCATTTGCAAAGTCTCGCTAATCAATCCCCAAGTTCATCCTCGGAAGCATCTCGCGGTGCGTCCACGAATCCTCGCGCAGCTCCAGCCATTTCTCGTTCTCTTCTCCGTGCGAGATCAGAATCTTTAAAGAATCCTGAGCGCACTCGTTGCATGCTAACGAGCCTCGGGATACATCGATATCGGTACCAGCGGATCGCTCGTCATCGCAGCAGGGAAACCCGTGTCGTACCGTCGAGCGGCTTCGGATTATCACGATCTTCCGCGATCGGAGACGCGGGGCCGTGCGAACGGCACTTAAAGACCCCGTCGTCCTCCGTCCCAGGTGTCGTCCCATGGTTTCCCAGGAACGCCGGGGACTCTCTTACCTACATCTCCTTTACCTTCCGCAGTCACTGGGAATTATGAACCATCGGGACACGACAATGGCAAACGGGCCATAAATCAATTGGCCTGAAGTCCGACTGCACCTGTATTTACGTAACAGGTGGTATAACAAAACCTCACAGCTTCGGAAGACCCCCAGACACATTCTATATACGTACGTACGTATGCCCGAGTATGGTGAAAACTTGCACGCGATCGACAACGCACAATCGACGTGTCTTATATACATAGATGATACACACGGGTACACAGAGACTGATAAAATTACCAGATAAATAGATAACCAGATCAAAATAAATGTACACTCATCGTATAACTAGAAACCTTGCTATCTCCGTGCACGAGGATGGGCTCCTCTTAGTCACTGGGTACATATGTACGTCACACTCCAAATCTGTATACATTCATATGCATACGTATCACAGAGTCAGATGATTTTCCATGCAATCCGTGCTCCAATCCGTGACGAACGGTACACGCGCTCTTATAGCTAATCCGACGTAATGATCAGGTTTCGTTCTACCGAACAGTGTCTACCGCTTTTCTAAGATCGGATCTTACCAATGGAATCCCTTGAGGACTCCTGAACTCGTATTTGTCCCGTATTACTGGACACACCGAGTGTCTCGCTGGTATGTCGAGCCATGCTATAAATGCACAAAGGGTCTTCTCGGAGAAAGGGAGAGGAGAGGGGAGTGAGAGAAAGAAAGAGAGTGAATATAGCCACCATTGGAACAGGCACGTACCTGCGAAGGAGATAAGGAGCCATAAAGAGATAAAGATTGTTTGTTTGGTCTGGCCGGCATCACGGTAGGCAATAATCCAGGGCGAACCCATGGCCTATCGTACGTTTCCCATGGTACGAGAGAGAAATTATATTTTTAAAATGACTCTTCGGTTCGTCGGCTATACTGGCTCTTGTCTCATGTATGGTGGGATACTCGTGTGTAGTTCAGTGTCCTCGGCTTCGATTCCCTCGTGAAACACATTTATTGCATTAGTCTGCGTGGCACTGGGAGATACTACCGGGTTGGCTTAGAATTTATAAATGTATATGTAAAAGTCGAAAATCATCCGGGCTCGTCCTACAGGACTCTTCTCATAGGTCGCGTCCCTTAGGTTCCTTTTATCTTTTCACCGGTCGCCGCACACCTTACGCTTTGTAAACCTTTGCCCACACCATCGCCTTTTGACTCAGTCAATCAGTCGCTGTTACCAGCGCAGTAAATAACAATGAAAAAAGTACGGCTTTCCATTAGCTCCAATTACTCGCGGAGGGGTCTGGCATCACGATCCCGTGTGCTAAAAGGTCGCCTCACTCAAATCCCATTGTTTCTTCCTTTACGTAATTCGCTCTTGCCAATTTCGTTCTATGGACTATCCTTGTGTCAGAATCGCGACCGTCTGTACCTGGCTTCGCCGCACTGAACATCCAGAGGGAATTATTGGTTTGATCTTTCCAAGGAGGAATCGCAATCTTTTTACGTATTTCACGGAGCAGTCTTGGATAACAAACAGGAGTGAGGTTCGGCAGGAGTTATTTATTATTCGAGCAGCAGCCATATTGCTGTCCCATGCGAGCAGCAGTATCGTTCTCGTCCATGGAAATTAATTGCTTTCGTCGTACACATTCAGTACCGTATACACAATATATATTGCGACGTCATTTTTCGACTCACGGTCACAAGGGGATTCCAGCTACCGATTTCATCTGTTACGTTCTCAGTTGCGTTTGCTGATTTTACGCGACCCCAAAAATCGACGGGATCCGCTAAGCTATCGCCGTTTCTGATAGGTTCCGTCGGAGCTCTCGTTTGGGCATAGTTGAGACTGTTCCACCTCGACTCCCGGGTCACACCAGGCTCCTCGGGTGGACGGCCAAGGACGAGGTAGGTTCTCGGATTTTCGCTATCGGGGCCGAGCCAAGAAAATACGATACAATATATATATAACCTATTTCCTGTTTCCATTTCAATAGTACCACGTATGCATATAGAGAATTTTCGACAATGGACTCCATGTACTCTGAGACTGTGCAGCACGATTAAAGGTTTGAAATTGGAAACGGGTGTTAATAATATCCCCCGGCGCGCGCATTTATTTACAATGTATATATCGCCGTGTATTTATTGCCTTAGCGTGATATCTGTATATGTATATGGACAAGGCATGACTCGACTTTATATGCGCGATATTGCTTCTCCGTACGTAACGAGCTCGGCGAATACAGCGAGACCCTCGCAAAAAGAACGGAACCCCATGAGTTCAATAGGGGAACGGATATGTGGCAAGTGGAACAATGGGATATCGGCTAACCTGGAAAATACCATAGCACCCTACTAGGCGCTCTACCCTCGGACGGGGAGAAAATAAGAGAGCGAGTGAGGGTGAGTATGGTTACTAGGTGGGACACTCCTGTAGGTGGGTGCGCGGATCGCGCTCGAATTCAATTTTTACGTAACAAAAGGAACCGACGAGGAAATGCTGAGGGACAGTGGAGCGATTCCTCTGTCGAATGACAAGGGGGATGAGGTTAGAGTGTTGAGGGGGTGGGCGACGTGTTGGTTGGGTGAAAAAAGTAATGGGGGGAGGGGGGGTAGCGAGGTGTGACGTCACGTTCGAGGAAAAACCCATTCGCGCAAATTGGATGGCCTCGTTTCGCCGCGAGTGAACCTTGCAATTAAAAAAGTTTTGAATTGGG